TTTTGTCTTGGTTTGCAGTTCTATGACCTTTTAAATATATTTGAGCTTAATGGTCTTCCATCTGAAGATAATCCGTACCTCTTTAATGGTGACTTTGTTGATAGAGGATCTTTTTCTGTTGAAGTCATATTGACTTTATTTGCTTTCAAATGCATGTCCCCATCAGGTAAATCACATGCCTTTGACGAATTGTTCTGGCATAGAGTTCAGTCTTTGTATGCAGGACCTACATTTTATGATTCCAATGAGCTGTTGTGTTGAATTTTATTGATTTTATTATACATTTCAGCAATGTATCTTGCTCGAGGAAATCATGAAAGCAAGAGCATGAACAAAATATATGGATTTGAGGGAGAGGTCAGGTCCAAACTTAGTGAGAAGTTTGTTGAACTTTTTGCTGAAGTATTCTGCTGTTTGCCCTTGGCTCATGTGATAAACGAAAAGATCTTTGTTGTCCACGGAGGTCTTTTCAGTGTTGATGGTGTTAAGCTTGCTGATATTAGGGCTATTGACCGGTTTTGTGAGCCACCAGAAGAGGGTAAGTTCTCTCTTGACCTTTTCATGTGCAAAAAAAGAAGTGCATCAATGCTTTCTTCTTGGCCCATCATTGTCAATACCCATATATTTGCCAAAACCTAAGATATTACTATCTTTTTAAAACATCTGCACTGTTGCAGCCTATATATTAGTTGAAAGATCAATACAGATTTCAATGACCAATGTTGTGGCATGTGTTTCAATCATTGACATATACTTCCAAATGCCTAAATGCCATGGCTAAATCTAGTGCAAGTTTGTTTATATTCAATTGCAATGTACGAATCTTGACTGGTTGTGCCTTCAGGATTGATGTGTGAGCTGCTGTGGAGTGATCCACAACCTCAACCTGGAAGAGGTCCTAGTAAACGAGGTGTAGGCCTTGCATTTGGTGGGGATGTAACTAAAAGATTTTTGGAAGATAATAATCTTGGTATGTCTCTAATCCTCTCTTCCCATATTTGCGTTATTGGCTGAATGTGTGCTTTTATGTTTTATCATCATATGTTTCCCTTCGAGCTTTTACATATACACAACCAGCCATGATTAGCTGAATTATATATTAGTTTATGATTCAGATGGTAATTTTTTTTATTGTACTAATATCAGACTTAGTTGTGCGGTCCCATGAAGTAAAAGACAAAGGCTATGAAATTGACCATGATGGTAAACTCATCACGGTCTTCTCTGCTCCTAACTACTGTGATCAGGTAACTTGCTCGATAGTTATCACTTTTTTAGCATTGTTTGGGGGGGGGGGTGCGGTGACTAATTTCCTAAAACGTGGCTGGTTTGCGTGACTCAGATGGGTAACGAAGGAGCTTTTATCCGCTTTGAATCCCCTGCTCTCAACCCAAATATTGTTACATTCTCAGCAGTGGTGAGTGATATTATTACCAATCTATTGAAAATCCTCTGCTTCTCTAGTAATTCCGCTCATTTATATACTACATCTGAAATTTCAGCCGCACCCTGAGGTCATGCCAATGGCCTATGCCAACAACTTCCTTAGAATGTTCTCATAGCAGGTCCCTGATCGGATTATGCAAGTTTTTGGTCATTTTATAGAACAGAGCAAGAAAAGAACTCGTGCTTCTATAGATGATGTTTGTACTGTGGATTTATTGGACTGCCTGTAAGAATACTTAATTAGCTTTGTTTGTTTAGTTAGGTGGTGTTTGGTAGGCAGCCAGGCACACTTTTTTTTTAAATGTTTTTTCTAAAAAAAAATAATTTGTTTGGTAGGCAGCTCATTGTCATGTAAGCTGTAAGGTTGTCTTGTTTCTATTACGTTTATTTATGCAAATTCAAATTAGTTCACAAATTATTTTCTTTTTCTTGTTTGAGACAATATGTTTAACCCAAATTACTGTGCTAATCAACAAGGTTGCGTTTACTTATATGCGATTCATATTAGTTTACAAATTATTTTCTTTTTCTTAGTTAGGGACCTCAAACTTCTGGCATTATTGATGATACGACCGTAGATTCGCGGACTAGAGTAGTCGGGTATGCTTTTGGCATGGTTGTTTTTGAGATTATCGTCTTCTTTGCTGGGTGCTTTTTGCTTTTTCATTTCGTTAACCCTAGTTCGCTCCGCTTTACGTGCATTTAATGCTCAATATGTTCCATGTCTTACTCTAGATGGGGTCTTTTGGAACCATCCTCCCTACTTTCAAATGGGAGTAAGGTTTGTGGGATCGAACTGGGTTATTGTTGTATTGTTGTTTCTTAAGTGTTTGAGACAATATGGATAATGCAAATTACTTTGTTAATTAGTATATTACTTCAAAATAATCTATCTTCCCATCTTGCACTGTTCACTGCTTCCTGTCCTTAATTTGAATGTCTCACTTATTTTCTTGTCTGTACTAAAAGACCCCCACCCATCATTTCACTGTCTGCCTACTTTGTTTGAGTGGAAAGAATACTTTCCCAGGGTCCCCCACCCCCACTCCCACCCAAGAGCGTGTACTAGCTGTATGAATTTAAAGACATTGCGCCATTTCAATGTGAATACGTGCACATTTATCAGGTACGGAGTATCAATTTTAGATTCTTAAACGAGTACTTTTTATTGTTCTCTTGGTTTAAACTGTCCGTTTTGGTTTATGATTTTTGACTTAATTTATTTTTTATTATTTTATTTGAGAATTGGGGTAAACTTAAAAAATAAAATTTATATATTTTAAAATTATATTAGAGGTAATACTCTATAGAAACTAAGAGGAAATATGAGTATATTATTTTATTAAATGAGTAACAAAAAATTGGTAAAGAAAGTAAATGAAGTGATTTTGTGAGTAGGAAACAAACAGTAAGGACTTGTTTTCTTTACCAGATATGATTGATTTTGATTTGATTAAATGAAGTTTGGATCTTATCTAGTTTGATCTGATTCTAGTTGTATTTAAAATTATTTTTATTCAAGTTTGGTATGATTTAATCTCAATATGAACAAGTCGTAGAGAAAAAACTCTATTTTTTACGTTGACACCAGTTGACAGTGCTCATTTGTGGCTGACATTGCACATTTGCCTACGGTAATTCATTTGGGAAATTAATGATCATTACTTCTAAACCCTCTACTCACCCATCTGAACCTTGACCCACACCCTAGTCCTTCATGTTTGTTGTTTGCCAATAATAAATATTGTTGCCAATTAACAAATAGGGGGGCTCTAGGCAAAGTTTAGATTTGGAGGTAGCTAGAAACCATTAATTTTTCATACACAATACCGTAAAGACCGAGTGCACATCAGTGTCAACAATGTCAACGTAAGGCGGTGTTATTTGAGTTATATTTATTTAGTTTTTGTCCATTTTCAAATAAAATTTATATTTCTCAACTTTCCTTTTGAGGAATAGATTATGTAGTTCTAAATAATTGTCTCTTCCAAATAGGTTCTAAATTCATACGAGAATTTTTTTTATCTTTCAATATTTTTAATGCTCGGGGAAATTGAAATATGGATTTAATTTGGCGATGGCTTTTATTTATCTCAAGGAGTAGTTGAAATAGACGTCAACAATGCTCAAGTACAAATAAATGAAAATGATACTGCTAACATTACTCATTGGATGACTCGTTATTTTGACACCAATCCTTAGTGACATACTCCGTATCATATATTGAGCCATTTAGGGTACTATAGTGTTCATTTTCTTTGGAATTGGAATATTGGATCATACCCTTAACCCTCTCCACACATACAACACCTTGCCCTTAGGTCATTCACAAAGAGGGAGGGAGGTTACCGCCGCGCCACTGGAAGGTGCGGGGCACGCGACATTTCCAAATTCTAAATTATGTTATACTATATTCCCAAAATATTTGAGAATTTGAGATGTAAAATGGACAAGGACATAACGTAAGACCTCAGAATTATGTCACAAGTAGTAGAAATTAAGACTAGGAAGGTTAGAAATTCCCACACATTTTTCATAGTCTGATAGTTGGCTTTCTTTTTGCAAGGCTCAATACATATAATCATTTTATGTATTAAGGTTCATAAAATGAACATGAAGACGTCATTTCTCACGCCCGAAGTAACCTACTGCTACCGGGTAATGACGTTTGGCTTGAAGAATTCAGGAGCAACTTACCAACGCATGGTGAACAAACTCTTCAAGCCACTACTGGGAAAGACCATGGAAGCATACGTCGACGACATGCTGATCAAAAGCCAGGTATCTCTCAACCATCCGTTGATATGCGTGCCACATTCGATATCATGGAAAAATACAACCTCCGGTTGAATCCTAAGAAATGCATCTTCGCGGTTCGTACCGGGAAGTTCTTAGGATTCATGGTGACCAAGAGAGGAATAGTGCCCAACCCAGAAAAAATCCGGGTCATCACTGAAATGCAAGCCCCTACCTCCGTTAGTGATGTTCAGAAGTTGACCGGTCGTCTAGCGGCCCTCAGCCGGTTCCTTTCCCGGTCAGCTGAGAGATCCCTGCCCTTCTTCAAAGTTCTAAAGAAGGCCAACACGTTTGCATGGGACGAAGAATGCCAGAGGGCATTTGAGGAGCTGAAAGAGTACCTAGTGTCAAATATTGTATTGTCTAAACCCGAACCGGGTGAAACTCTGTATCTGTACCTGGGAATTTCCCCAAATGCTGTAAGCTCCGTTTTAATAAGAGATGATGGGGCACAAAAGCCCATTTATTATGTGAGCAAAGCACTAAACGGAGCTGAGAGTAGATATACAGCGATGGAGAAGACTGCCTATGCGCTTTTCATCTCCGCAAAAAAATTAACATCCTACTTCCAAGCTCACCCGGTGGATGTCTTGACTGACCAACCGCTGGGTGCAGTGTTGCGAAATTCAACATCCTCCGGGAGGATGGTGAAGTGGGCAATGATGTTAACTCAATTCAATATTGAGTACCGGCCAAGGTCAGCAATCAAGGGACAAGCCCTTGCAGACTTCCTGGTAGAAATGACCGGTCTAACTCCAGACCTACCGGTCAACAAACCCGCTGAGCAATGGTGGGAGATGGCAGTTGATGGGGCATCCGGTCCTAGAGGATACGGGGGTGGTATTGTGTTCACCACCCCAGAAGGGTTCAAGATCTACCATGCAATCGTCTTCAACTTCAAGCTGACGAACAATAAGGCAGAATATGAAGCTCTGGCTGGAGGGCTCAGACTTGCCCAAGCCCTGAAAATCAGCCGGGTCAGTATCAAATCTGACTCTAGCCTGATTGTTGGGCAAGTGAACGGTAACATGGAAGCGAGAGAAGGACGCATGGCACAATACAAGGACCTCGTACTTGCCCTGTTGAAAGGCTTTGAGGAATTCAAGATCGCCCAAATTCCCCGGGCGGAGAACGCGGATGCAGACCTTCTCTCTAAGTTGACGCAGTATGCTCCCGAGCATGTTTCAAAACTTTCCCGGGTGGAAATCTTGGATCGAGCCAGCATCGAGAGATTGGAAGTCGCCGCTATAACAGCCCGAAGCCAATCTGATCGGTCAAACCTGGTCGGGGCGGACGACCATTGGATGTATGATCTTATGGAATATTTGATTGATGGGAGCTTGCTAGAACAAGATGACCGGGGTATTACTGGCGTATGCGCGGCGCATCAAATGTCCCGTACGCTTTCCCAGCGCATCATCCTATTGGGGTATTACTGGCCAACAATTGTCCAGGATTGTGAAAGGTATGTTCAGAGATGCAGAACATGCCAAGTGTTCTACAAGTATCCCGGTAGACCGGCGACCTACTATCACCCCGTATCGAATGTCATCCCATTCGCTAGGTTCGGGGTCGATGTCATTGGAGCGTTCCCAATCGCCCAAGGAGGGAAGAAGTTCGTAATCGTAGCCATCGGTTACTTCACCAAATGGATCGAGGCCGAAGCGTTGGCCAACATTACCACACAACAATGCAAGAAGTTCATTTGGAAGAACATCATCACAAGGTTTGGGGCTCCCATGAACCTCATCACCAACAACGGCCCACAATTCTGAAATCCGAGATTCACTGAATACTTGGAGGGCTTCGGAATCAAGCACAATCGCTCTTTGGTGGCGTACCCCCAAGGAAATGGCCAAGTCGAAAACGCCAACAAAACTATTGTAGATGGTTTGAAGAAGCGGCTGGGAGAAGCAGGAAACAAGTGGCTGGAAGAGCTCCCGCACATCATTTGGGCGTTTCGAGTAACACCAAGGAGGGCTCATGGGGAAGCTCCATTCTCCCTAACGTATGGGTGTGAGGCAAGGCTGCCCATCGAGGCCGAATTCCCTACATTTCGGGAATCGAATTATCAACCCCAGCAAAATGAAAAAGACCATCTAGCCGAGCTCAACTTGGTCGAGGAGCGGAGAATGGCCGCGGAAGTTAAAATGAGCACATATCAACAAGTCGTGAAGAAGTACCATGACAACAAGGTTGGACCGCGATACTTCCTAGTTGGAGATGAAGTCCTACGAAGAAGAGAGGCTAGTAGACCGGGTGATGGAGGAAAGTTGGCCAAAAACTGGGAAGGACCTTACCGGGTAAAAGCTATCATTCGCCCAGGGACCTACCGATTAGAAACTTTAGATGGTGTACCGGTAGAAAGAACTTAGAATTCCCATCATCTTCGCAAGTTCTACAAATGATTGTAATACTAGGCGAGGCCTAACTACATTATCAATCAAAATGTTCAATACTCTACATGGTAGCAGCAGAAATGATAGGTCGAACCTATCCTAGGAGGGCTTCCCGGGTGGATCGAATTCACTTGGATAAGCCAAGTGAGACACATGCCCGGACCTGGCATGCTGGTTACTACACCAGTCTTGCTCAGTATAATAGAAAAAATAATAAAACCCGGAAGAGGGGTATGCCTGCAAGAGGGCTGGACCTGGAAGAAGGTTCGAACCGTACTTACACGGGCCCATGAGGTTTGACCGGTATCGGGGAATCAGCCGGTACCGTCAAATTGATTGGGGACTAAAAGATGCCCATTAAAAGAAATAGAAAGGGATCGTCCACCGTGGCGCATCCTATTTCTCCCTTCTCAGGGAAGACTTGAACGGGGGGGGGGGGGGGGGNAGGGTTCGAAACCATTCGACATGGTTAAATCTCTAGTATCCTTACCGGTTAAGGATACTTCAAGAATTCACTAGGTTACAGGTGCTCCTATCTATAACCTACCGGTCAAAGAAAAAAGGAATACCCCGGTCGGGTATGGGTACAGAACTTCGAAAGTTCTACAAGGCAAGGCAGTTGATCGGTCAGACCATGGAGTGGAACCTACCGGTCAAACTGTACTTTATCGAAGAATTCACTAGAAGAATGAAGGTATCCAAAAACTAAAATGAAGTTTTGCCGGTCAAACTTTTTTAAGTTGACCATCAAGATGAAGACATTCAAGAGTGAAAGTTAGAGTTCAACCGGTCTATTTCAATTCACCGGGCTGAACTTGACAGAACCAAGTACAAGCCAAGGGACCGAAGAAGTTCAGCCGGTCAGAGTTTTTACAAAGAGATTCTAAGGAACAAGAGCAAAGTATCAATCAAGAAGCAAAAGGCAAGATTAACCGGGTAAGAAAACAAACATGACATTTAACAAAACAGGAGATGTCAAATGTTTACAAGTACGCCGGGCATACCCGGAGAAATTTCAAGTCTGAAAGTTTTACAAAAATAACCGGGCGCAGCCGGGGAGATTTCATTCCAAGGGAAAAGGGGGCTCAGGTTCTTCATCGGGGATGGGGGCCAGGCCATAAGCATCGGCAGAGAAGGTCGAGTCCCGCTTAGCCAAGATTGCATGGGTAGCCTCCCGGTCTCGTTTTTGCCCGGACATGAAACCATAGGAGCCGATCTGGGTGATCATCTCCTTTCCTTGCTCCTCCCGGTAGATCAGCTTGAAGGCCTCCACCGTCTTCTCTTGATCGGAGGTGACCAACCGGGCGACCTCCTCTAGGTTCTCCCCCATCCACTGGCGAGCTCAACCGGGAAACTCTCACTCCTTGGAGTCCAAATCCTCCATCAGCTTTAGGTTCTCCTCCTTCAATCGGAGGATTTCATCCTGAGCTGCCCCGGCCATCCTAGAGAGGTTGTCCATCTCCTCAAGCTGGAGGGTTGTTAGATCCGGAAGCTCCTGGTTGTGTGCTTCGGACCTCTTCAGCTTTTCCTCCAATTGGGGTGACCGGGAAGGAGAATCATTGGCGAGCTGCTCCAGGACATCAGGCCCAACCTCGCTCATCTGCAAAACGAAAATGTACCGGTTAGTGCGACAGACAAGTAGCAAATTCAAGAAAAAGTGCCGGGCAAATATTACCTCCTTCAGCTTCTGCCCCATCTTGACCCAAAGCTCCTCTAACGACTCTGTGGCCGGGGCGTTTTCTCCCCTTCTCCTTTTCGCTGAGGGATGGGTGGTGGCGGCATGCTTGGTTCGGACCTTTCCCTTCCCCTTGTCTAGGGGAGGGTTTACCGTGGTCTTCCCGGCCTGACCGGTCTTCCCGGTCGGAGGAGTCCCCTCCTCGGAATGGATCTCCACTGGTTCCTGCCGGACCGGTACGGTTTTGGGGGCAGAGGTGGAAGGGCCGCCGGTCTTCTTCGGGATGGTGAAAGACCTGAAATTCATATCTACATGAAACAAGTAAAAAACCCTGACCGGTGTAATCAGAGAATGAAGAAAGAGTAGGGAAGGATACCTGGGTGACTGGAGCCCCCGGCCTCCGCAGTGTTGCCCGGGGCGGGTACCCCGTGCCCCGCTGCTTCATCAGCCCTAGGGGTACCCGTGCCACCCGGTGAGATTCTCCAAATCCAAGCCCCGTAGTGGAACATTTTCCCGGTGAACGGGTTCCCGTGTAAAAGTTTCTCCAAACTTTCTTCCAAGTCTGGAGCGCTAGCCGGCTCAGTGTATTGCGGTTTCAGGAGGTGATCGTTCCACTTTATGCCGGCCAGAGGAGAGACGGAAGGAAATTTTATAAAAAGAAAATTCCTTCCACTGCCGGTTGCTTTGTGAAAGGTCGGAGATAAATTGACGACCGTTACAGCCCTTGAAATAGACATAACCGTCGCATCGCGACTTACCGGGAAGGACTTCAAACAAGAAGAGAAACAGGCGAAGGGAAGGGTCGATCTTAAGTTCAACGCAGATATTTACAAAGGCGTTGAGGAAACGGTGGGCATTGGGCGTAATCTGCCCGGGAAGGATTTTAAAGCACTGGCATAATTCAACCAGGAGGGGACAGAGGGGGAAGACGGTGCCACTCTCCAAAGAAATAATATGGAAGCCTATTCTATCATCCCGGTGAGGCTCGATAATATTCGGCCACCTGGGGTCGAATTCAAGGACATACTCCTCCGGGAGATTCCTACGGGCCTTGTTTTGGGCAATCTTGGAAACATGGGGGTAGATGTCTGAGGGGTAGCTAGTAGGGAGGGGAAAGTAACTGGCCGCTTCCAGCCGGTTCACCAATTCCTCATATGACTCGTTATCAGGGTCATAGGGAGCTGGCTCATCGTCAACCGGTTCATCCCTCTCCTGAAAAACCTGACCGGGCAATTGGTTAACAGGCTGCGGTTCAGGGACGGTGGTGTTGGGAACCGACCAGGGTTTAGAACCGGATAGAGATGACCTGGTTGAAGAAGAAGAGGTTGAGGATTCCTCGGATGCGTAGGCATCCAAGGAAGAAATACCCTGACTATCAAAAGAAGACATTGACCGGGAACAAAAACGAAGAAGAGTTAATGAAGAAAAGAAAGGAGCTTACTTGGCTCGGAGGGCTGGAAAGCAAGAGAGAGGAGCTTGACCGGTGAAACTCAAGAGACGCGCGAGAGGAAGTGAAGAAATGAATGGGGTGGAGCTCTTTATATAGGCGATGAAAGAGGGGAAAAGGGCGACGTGGCCACTCGAGAACGCGCCGCGTCAGGCGGCGCAATGATGGTGCATGGGGAAGACGAATGGGCAGGCTGACAACGGTACAGTACGGACGGTTGAGACGCGACACGTGTCCAAATTCGAATTTCGAATTTAAATTTTGATATCTTTAGGCGGGAAAAGCTGAAATTCGAAATTAAAAGTCCTGTTTCAGATTTTTTTTACTTCCCGCTTATGACAAATTGCATAACCGAGAAGTGGAGAGCTTATTGATGGGTGTATTTCACCCATGACCGGTCAAAAGAAGGAACCAGATAGTTGACCGGTCAAAGAGGTCAAGCTTGAAGGAGAGAAATGAATCGTCAGTAGGAGGGTAAAGGGTTGACCAAAAAGTTGACCGGTATACTTCGAATAGTATACCGGTCTAACTATGCCAGCATCTAATTCATCCTTTGAAGTTAGCAGATCCAACCCTCAAGAACCAGCCGGTACAGTTTTAGAAGATTGGAGAGTGTCGGCAAGAAGAGTCCAAAAGGACTTGGACTGTAGTGGTTGGCATTGCTGGGAATTCAGTGGAGATGTCGAAGGAATGTTTCCAAGCCAGAACGCGACAAGGGAAGTAATTCCCCTCACAAGACGACAGGGCAGCTCGAGGACAAAACCAGTCACCTTGCACCACATCAGTAGCGTGCCCCCACGTGGGCGCACGTGGTCTTGTCCCCCTTAACCTAGTATAAATACTCATGTAAACCTTAGAAAGAGGGATCGAAGGCACTCTCTCTAAACTCCCTTGTAAAAGCACCTGTGCATTCTCTGTTATAATATAAATTGGGCTACAGGTGTTCCACCTAAAGTCCTACCGGTCAATCTGCGTGTTTTTACCTTTCTTACTTTGCCAAATCAAGCAAACTATTCTAGAACCGGTCTAGTATAGTTTGACCGGTCAAGTAATTTACACCATCAAATCTAAAGATCATAAAAGAATCTTCCTGGTATGAAATAAATTAATGTTTAAAAAGACATAAAACTTATTATGTTTTGTAATTGTTGTTATTAAGCTTTCGCAATGTTAAATTACTCCTCCGTTATTATTCCAAATAATTTATTATGAAATAAAATTTTAAAATGTTGAAATATTTTGAATGTTTACGAATACCAAGTTTATATTTTAATCCGAAAGGGACTGCAGACCTGGACGGATTAGGATATTACAATTTGTTTTATTTACCTGTGTGTAGCAAATAAAACATACTACACGCTCAGTGTTGAAGCTGAGTAAGGGTATTTAATGCCTCGAACATCCACATAAATTGAATCTCAATTCATAATTAAATAATTTCATATCATGCACATAATACTCATTTCAGTTTTTTGCAATTCATAATGTCAACAATGCTCATGAACTATTATTAGTCTAAAACTATATCATAACAATGTTGTTAAACTATTCTTAGTTTAAGACCAAATTCATATTTTCTTTAATCGGGATTTTATACTATATCTAGTTTAAGGCTATATCATTTTATTAACTAAACTCTTAAGCTATAGTTAGTTTAAGGCTATTTTGTATGATTAACTAAACTCTTAAACTATAATTAGTTTAAGGCAACTAATAACCCGACTCTTAAATTATAATTAGTTTAAGACAAAAAGATAATCAGACTCTTAAACTATAAATAGTTTAAGGTAGAAATGTAATACCCCGTATTAAGTTGGGAATGTGAAGAGCTCAAAAGGATTGATAGTATTACTCATATCAACAAGGTGCATCTTCTTTCCGAGAGCTCATCATCTAGAAACTCCAAAGTTAAGCGTGCTTGACCAAGAGCAATTCTAGGATGGTTGACCCCCTGGGAACTTTCCTTGGGCGCGCACGAGTGAGGATAAAGTGCGCGGGAAAGACTTGTGTTGGTTTGTTGGGCTAGTCTACAGTCCTATGAGCAAACACTTACGGCCAGGGTATTACAAATGGCATCAGAGCAACCCTGCGACCCTGACGGGCCAAGAGAGCTTAGTTCACCTAGCGGGGAAGATCTAAGGGTTTAAAAAGGGATGCAACGAAGACGTTGCATTCTTAAGTTGGGGTGAATGTAATACCCCATATTAAGTTGGGAATGAGAAGAGCTCAAAAGGATTGATAGTACTACTCATATCAACAATGTGCATATTCTTTTCGAGAGTTCATCACCTAGAAACTCCAAAGTGAGAACAAAGTGCGCGGGAAAGACTTGTGTTGGTTTGTGGCGCCAGTCTACAATCCTATGAGCAGACACTTACGGCCATGGTGGGACCAGGGTGTTACAAGAAAACAGAATAACAGGCTACTCACTGTCGGGTTGGGTGGTACCCCCAAATGAATATATACTCAAGTTTGGTTTATGGATCCCGTACGTACGTTTTAACCCCAGCCACCGGACATCATACCCGCAAGGCCTAACTAGATTGATCATATGGGATCTATTTTTTTTAATCAAGGTTCAATCATCATACTATTTAATAATAAATAGCGGTCAAGCATCGATTGTTAACATCCTAACTTACCGTAATGCATCAAATAAACTTCTTGAATTTATTAAAATATCATACTTAGTTTAGAAATGATATTCATACCAATTTATAGTTGTATGGTATGAAAAATATGATTTTACATATCAAAAATGTGAAATTTGCACTAAATAGGACTAAAACATAACTTATTTCCCAATGTAGGACTTAAACTTTTTTACTCACTAAATAGGACTTAATAATGTCTAGTGAGAAGAATAATGTCCAAGTGATGTTGAACATTTAGTTGAATAATGACTAATAGATAATGACCAATGATCCTACATTAGGAAATAAAAATATATGGTCCTATATTGAGAAATTCATTATGTTTTAGTCCTATTTAGGTAAATTACCCATCAAAAATCAGGTTTGTGGAATAATCATCGGATCAGGTAGTACTTGTCACGGTACCGGTGAACGGTACCTTAGTACTGCCCAGACGGTACTGGGTACCGCATAATATTAGATTCCAACAGAGTCGGTTTGCTTGTAGAGGTAGTTGGCTACCGTCTCAACAGTACCATGCTACCGTCTGGTTGTAGGTTGCTACTGTTACTGTACTTGGTTCGAAATTAAGCACAGTACTTTGTCTTCAACCTCAGTCCAATTTTTGAAAACATCATTTTAAACCACCAAATTTCAATTAAACTATATAGAAATATTCTCCAACGTTCAAAAATTATTTTGGTATCATTAGTTCGAAGTTTTAACAACAATTCAAAGGTTTATGATTTTTGGTTCTTCAAGCATGTCAAACATAAAACTCAACCAAACAATCATTTATGAACGTAGAAACGATCTGTATGAACATTCTAATCACTAGATATATCTAAGGACTTACCTTGGACTATAATGAAGATTTTAGAAATATTCTGGCAAAACTTTTGGTGACCTCTCACTTTATAGACAACACCGTAGCACTCATCCCATTCCAAGGGACAAAATAGGAGAAAGAAATGAAGGAATTGGTGAAGAATGGAGAGAGTTGTTGCATGCTTATATAGGAGAAGATGATGAGAAGCTTCCAAGGCCTTTAACTTTTGAGATCGGTGAATTAACGTTAGTGGAGGGAGCGGCGATGCACTGCAATATTTTACGTCTCTCCTTGATTGTGACAAATTTTGGTCCCAATCGGGGTACACTTTTCAGTCAAACTTTGTTCGAATTAAAATCCAATTATACCATTGTGATGAGATAGTTAGACTCTACATAATGGTATAATTTTTATATTTATTTGTAATACATTTTCTAATACCTTATTTTTGGGTGTTTGACTTTGACAGAATCAAAATTGATTTAATTAATCTTTTATTCAAAAGATCTCATATTCAATTCATATCATTTAATCTAATGATTTATTTCAATAAATCATTTAAGAATTCACATCAATCATACAATCTACATATGTGTGTACTCTGGTCTCTAATCAAGACCACACATATTCAATATATATGCATATTTTATTCAGAATAAATTTGTCTAATTGAATAATAATTCAATAATATTTTTAAAGTGTATTTTGAGGCGTTACACGCCTGAGTGGTTTCTTGAAGGGCATCTTGATCGCTCGAAGAGCTTCCCTGCAGTGCCATGCTACTCGGTTGGTTGACGGAAAGTCACCCGGATGGACACGACTCGGGTCATGGCCTTGAAGAAGTACAGCCATCAATGTCAACAAGTTATAAGTGCTAATACCTTTAAGAACAATTTTTAAAATAAAATGTTTTGTAAGACATAATGAAAAACATTATAGGGACTAAAAACAAGAGTCACGTAAGTTAGAGAGATTAAAAACGTATTTAATTCTTTAGTTTTTATAGTAATTTTTTACTTTCTTGTATTTCGTATTATTGTGTTTTTTTCAATGAATGTATTTTTTCTCTTTTGCAATTGAATGTGTTACCCTGCAACTTTTAGTACGAAAGTTGTATTTTTTTTCTTTCAAAAAAAGTTATTGTTGTGTATAGGGTTATAAAACAAACAAATAATTTTGATTTGATTCATGATTCGTATTCGAAACAATGAATACGAATAAGAATATAAATATTTATTAGAATTTGAAAGAAAATAAATACGAATATGATTGTATACGAATTCGATTCGATATGTTAACGAATCTATTCAAATAGATATATAAAAATTTATATCCAATATAGTGTTTTATAATAAATACAGATTACTCCGCATTTTTTTGTTTTTTAATGTCACACTCTGTACGTAGTTGATACTTGATAGTACACATTTAGCTTTTGCGCACCATATAGAAAAAGAAGTATTTAAATAATTTTTAATCAGTGTGTAAATGTGAATTAAAATATAGAGTAATGGATAAGAATGCCCAATACCATAATTCCATACTCCATAAAAATCAATCACTAGTTCACTACTAAAGTAGTACAACTTGTCATTTCTTTTTATTCTTCAGAAAAAGCACTTCGATCAGTGGCCATGCAGTTGAGCAGCATTCCCGTGCTCTCATAGATCCTTAAAATTTGAAATTATAAAGCGTAAAAAACTCAAAATTTATATTTTATAACAGAATGCGAATACGAATCGAATATTTGAATTTAATATCGAATTGAATATGAATAGAAATAATTATTGGAATAAAAAACTAATATAAATATCAATAATGATACTCCCAACGCCACATTTTGATTTACAATTTTTTTCTTCTCGATAACTTTTGTTTATTTACCCGATTTCATTAAGTATTTGATAAAATAAAATATTTTTATCATTTCTTGTTTTGTAGAACTTTTGACATAAATTTTTAATATGTAATTTTTAATTCTTATTGATATACCGATTTATAAATAAAATGATTCCAAAAAGTAATATATTTTTTCTCGTAAACCCCAATTTGCAATCAAATTGAAGATAGAGGGATATGATTTTTCAAATTGTAGAAATTTAGGAAAAACTTTGATGCGTTTCATTGAGAATACGTAAACGTATAAATACAAGCTTCTACGAGACTAGAGCTACAATTGGGCTTGGCCCGTACAACAAGATACACAAATAAATATATACAAAATATATACGATAATACACCCCCTCAAGTTGGAGCATGGAGATCACGAATGCCCAACTTGGACAATAAAAAGGAGAACAGTGGGCGATTCAGGCCTTTGGTAAATAAATCTGCTAGTTGCAGACGCGTAGGAACGTAGGCCGTTGAAATTTCCCGACGTTGAATACACTCACGAACAATATGACAATCAATATCAATGTGCTTCATGCGTTCATGAAAAACGGGATTCGCAGCAATGAACAATGCAGATTTATTGTCGCAGAACAAACGTGGAACAATGGGAGGCGTCACTCAAAGTGCTCCAAGAATACCCCGAATCCAACGTACCTCTGCACAGGCGTTGGCCATGGCTCTATATTCAGCTTCTGCAGATGAGCGAGAAACTGTGGTTTGCTTCTTAGTCTTCCAAGAAACAAGAGACGTGCCAAGAAGAATAAAATAACCACTAACGGAACGGCGAGTAAGGGGACAAGAGGCCCAATCTGAATCACAGTAAGTTGTAAGCTGAAGAGAACTGTCACTACGAAGCAAAATACCTTGTCCAGGATGGCCCTTCAAATAACGGAGCACTCGCCGTGCGGCATCCATAAGGGCGAGCCGGGGGGCATGCATAAACTGGGATAGAACATGGATGGAGTAAGAGAGATCAGGCCGTGTAATAGTAAGATAAATCAGTCGTCCAACAAGACGACGATACTGAGCTGGATTCCGAAGTTCCGCACTAGTAGATCGCGCCAGGTCATGGTTCGGCACAATGGGAGTGTCCGCTGGTTTACAATCAACCAGGCCAGCTTCGTGAAGAATATCTAAGGCATATTTGCGCTGACAGAGCACTATCCCCTCCGCAGATCGAGCGCACTCAATGCCCAAAAAATAAGATAACTGACCCAGGTCCTTGAGATGAAAACAATGATGGAGATACTTCTTGAAGGAGGCGCAGAGGTGAGGGGCATTGCCGGCAACCAAAATATCATCAACATATACGAGAACAACCAGAATATGAGGTCCACACCGGCGTACAAACAGAGTATGATCGGCGTGTGCTTGTCGGAAGCCAAAACGACGAAGTGCACAGGTCATCTTGCCAAACCAATTACGGGGTGACTGACGTAGCCCATAGAGAGATTTACGCAGGCGACATACCTTGCCTAGATAGAGATGTGCAGAATCAGGCGGGAGTCGCATATAAACTTCCTCCACCAAATCGCCATGGAGAAAAGCATTGTTGACATCGAGCTGGTGGACCTGCCACCCCTTAGTTGCTGCAACGGCTAAAAGAACCCGAACAGAACCCATCTTTGCAACAGGAGCAAAAGTATCTGTGTAATCAACCCCCAACGTTTGGTGATTCCCAAGGACGACTAATCTGGCCTTGTCGCGTTCCTTAGTCCCATCGGAGTTGAACTTGGTTTTGAAAACCCATTGACATCCCAAAGCTGTTCTGTTTGGCGGAAGATCGGTAACATCCCATGTGCCATTATTCTCCAATGCCTGAAGCTCCTTGCGCATGGCCTCACGCCAATTTGGATGTGGTGCGGCTTCGACATAATTTTTTGGAACAAAGTGAGGACTCATAGCTCCCAAGAAACCAAGGTACCTATCACATAAGTTATCATAACAAACAAAATAGTGAATAGGATAATGTGTACCTGAAGCCAAAGACCGGATTGAAGAAGGCAACAATGACGCATTGGATTGAACGGAATTGACGATATAATCACTAAGGTGAGAGGGCGGACGACGCTGCTGTTGGGGACGAAGAGAAGGAACAACAGCTATATCTAGATGGAGGCTGCCTGCCGTGGTATCCTCGGGCTGGGATTCCGAAACAGCAGGCACGGCTACCTGGGCGGGCTGGGAGTCCTGCACTGCCGGCTGGAATGCCGTGCTAGTGGGATGGGTGGCAGCAGTGTTGGGAAAAAGGGCTGGGCATATCGGTGAATTCGGGCACAAGGGTAGGAGTGGGGGTTTCGGTTGTATGTGTAGCAAACGGAAAGTGAGTTTCGTCAAACGAAATATCACGAGTTGAAAAAATCGATGAGTTTCAAGATCGTAGACACGCCAACCTTTGGTCCCAGTGGGGTACCCAACAAACATACATTTAGTACTACGGAGGAAAAATTTGTTCAAGGTTGGGAGACGCACAAAGCAAAGGCACCCAAAAATCTGTAAGTGACTAAGATCGGGCACTTTGTGATTGAGTACCTCGAAAGGAGACTTGCCACCAAGGATTTTATTAGGGGTACGATTAATAAGATAAACAGCAGTACGGACACATTCTCCCTAAAATTCAATAGGTAAACTAGCTTGAAACATTAAGGCCCGAGCCACATTGAGAATGTGGCGGTGTTTACGTTCTACCCGACCATTTTGTTGAGGAGTCCCGACACATGAAGTTTGAACAAGAACCCCCAAAGATAAATAATAGGCACGAAGATGCCGATTTACAAACTCAGTTCCATTATCTGAGCGCACCACTTTAATGGTTTTATGAAACTGGGTTTGTATCATAGCAAAGAAGTGTTTCAAACAACTAGTGACCTCAGTTTTGTCAATAATCAAGTAAGCACAAACAGCACGTGAATGATCATCCATAATAGTAAGAAAGTAATGAGCATCAGTAGCCAAACATGGGGTGTAAGGTCCCCACAAATCACAGTGAATTAAATCAAAAATAGCAACAGCTTTATTGGAACTAATAGGAAAACTACTACGAGTCTGTTTTGACTGAAAACAAATTTCACATGATTGTAGCAATTTCAGTTTGGAACTACTAGGAACAGAGTTAATAGAAGACAAAACTTGTGAGGAAGGATGGCCCAAGCGTTTGTGGAGAAAAATGAGGTCCACTTGACTAGCAAACGCTGAACTTGACGCACGAAACAGAAACACGCCATTGTGCGCTTCACCCCGTCCAATCTCCATCTTCGTTGCACAATCCTGTATAACACAACGATATTTGTTAAAAAATAACTGAACAGGAATTATCCCGAATGAGACATCCAACCGAAATAAGATTACATTAAAGTTGGGGAACAAGAAGAACGTCCTGGAGAATCACTTCCGGGGAGAGGCGAACACGCCCACTCTGAGTAGCCGTAGTATGCGTTCCGTTCGGCAAAGTGATAACACATGGTGTAATAGGAACAATGTCACTCAAATATGAAAGAGTACCGGTCATATGATGCGAAGCGCCGCTATCCAAGAGCCACTCACGAGAAGTAGTTTCTCCGCTAGTACCTGCATTTTTGTCAGAAGCATCGAGCATGGACATTAAATGGGTCATTTGTTCGGGTGTGAGACTCAGTTGGCTTGATCCCGAGGCAGCGGCATGAGCTCCCCTGTCACCGTGCTGGATCCTCTGCCGCCGGAAGAGCTACTGCCGCTGGAAGGCGCACGACCAGCTCCCCGTCCTCCTCGGCCAGGGGTTGTGCGTCCACCACCACGTCCTTTACCCGGAGGATAACCATGTAGTTGGTAGCACCGATCAATGGAATGCCCTTCTTTACCGCAGTGCGTGCAAGTGTAGTGAGGAGGATCCCCACGACCCACTGCCGGGGTAGGACGCTGCACAGCGAAAGCTACGACGTCGGTTCGATCATCACGGCTTCGTCCTTTAAAGGCGTTGACGATCGTTTTCTCCCACACGTCATAATTGTCTCCCTTGAGGACGTGTTTCGTCAGAGAGTTTCCGGCACTTTCGGATGGGTGTATGTAGTACAACGATGTAGGATCATGGATCAAACGAACCTTTTTGGTAGCCTCGGCAGACATGATGGACACGGTCAGAATCTTGCAGCGGAAGAAGCACAAGTAGGGCAGCGACAACCTAACGGCAGTGATGCTGTCGAGAAATAGGGCAGCGGTGAGGCAGTCCCAACGTGAATCAACACCAGCGTGAGACGGTGTGCGGTGGTCGACGTGAGGCGACCCAACGGCAGTGATGCCGTAGAGAAGAAGACAAACGAGCCTAGGGTTTTTTGGAGTCCCGAAGAATTGGCTCTGATACTATGTAGAAATTTAGGAAAAACTTTGATGCGTTTCATTGAGAATACGTAAACATATAAATACAAGCTTCTACGAGACTAGGGCTACAATTGGGCTTGACCGGTACAACAAGATACACAAATAAATATATATAAAATATATACGCTAATACAAATACAAATAAAATTTCAAAATATCGCCGGTGGCTCAGCAGGACAAAAACATGCACACAGTTCTCCTCGACTGTCATCTCTAATTTCAAGGCCCTGCGCTGCCGCAGAACAGATTCCAAAAAACACAAAATGTGCCGCCACTGTTCACTCCCACATTCTCTCCTCCTCCTCCTCCTCCTCCTCCCCCCAATCTTCTTCTCATCCCCTTCAGCCTCTTCCCCGGCCGCCACCAATCACCGTCCTCACCCACCAAACACGACGGATGGCGGCGGCGATCCCCGTCGTCACGAGCTCCAGCTCCTGTTCAATATCATGGACTCCCTCTCCTCCGACTCCAACTGGAGAATCTCCCACCCCAACCCCTGTTCTTCCCCCCCTTCCTCTTCTTGGACCGGGATCGAATGCAAGTCCGGCCACGTCACCCGACTTGACTTCGGAACCCGCCCGAACCCGACTTGCAAAACCGCAGCCACTTTCCCTCCCGAGATCTTCCTCCTCCCTCACCTCCAATCCGTCTTTTTCCTCCGCTGTTTCACCCAAAACCCGACCCGAATCCTTCTCCCGAATTCAGGCGACAAGATCATCAGTCCCCTGCAGCAGTTGAGCCTCCGGTCGAATCCCGCGCTCGCCGGCCCCGTCCCTCCCCAAATCTCTTCCCTGAAATCCCTTCGGATCCTCACCCTCTCCCAGAACGGGCTGACCGGCCGGATTCCGCCGGAAATCTTCTCCCTCACCGCTCTCCTTCACCTCGACTTGAGCTACAACTTCTTCTCCGGGCCCATTCCTATTGAATTGGGGAACCTGAGGAGCCTCGCCGGTCTTGATCTGAGCTACAATAAACTCTGGGGTTCGATCCCGGAGACCGTGGGGCGTCTCGGGATGCTCCAGAAGCTCGATTTGAGCTCGAATGAGCTCACCGGGAGCATCCCGAAATCCATTCAAGAACTGTACTCTCTGGTTTTCATAGCTCTGAGCAACAACCGACTCTCCGGGAAGTTCCCGGAGGGGCTCTGGAGATTGCAGGGGCTACAGTACTTCATCATGGACGACAATCCGATGTTCGTCTCGCTCCCGGCGGAGTTCGCGAAGCTCCAGAGGCTCCAAGAACTGAGACTGGCCAATTCCGGGTACTCCGGCTCCATACCCAGAGCCTATTCCCAGCTCAACAACTTGACCACATTGTCACTCCAGAACAACCGGCTGGCCGGCGAGATTCCGCCGGAATTGGCGAATCTGTCGCACATATACCACCTGAATCTGAGCAGAAACATGCTGGGCGGGGTTGTCCCTTTCAATTCCAGTTTCTTGAGGAGGCTGGGGAGGAATTTGGATCTCAGTGGGAATGCAGGGCTGTGCTTCAACTCATCATCTTCAGGGTACGAAAATGGAGTCTCCTCTGGAATTGGCATTTGCGGGAGGAACAAAACTGGGTTCAACTTGTTGAAGAAATCCGGGGATTCGTCGGAGTTGAGAAAACCGTCCGTTTCCATTGCTGGTTTCGGTATTGTTTTAGGAATGCTTCATTTCTTCTTGTTTGTTCATTACTGATTATTATATGATTCTTTCACTAATATTTTCTCTGTTTTTCTTCTTCTTCTTCTAATCCTTCTTAATATTACTCCTGGTGGTTTTTATCTGCTGGTTGGTTTTGGTGTTCTTTTTGGGGGGTCGTTTTCTTGATTATTGGGGACTAAATACTGTTTAAATTGGACACATTTCCAAAATTGTGTGAAGCATTGTCCTAATTATTTGGGCAACTTTGGGATTTGGAATAATGTCTACCCAGAAACCAATACGGTATTGGCGCTAATACTGTGCGTGCGCATAATGATTGGCTGATATCACCAATTTTCGAGATGTCATTAACAGCTATAAATGTACCTTGGTACTCCTTATTGACTTTTAAATTTCTTTTTCTTATTAAAAAAATAGAAAAGTAAATTAATGATAAAATAAAAAGGTATTATTGAAATTTATTCTTTAAAATGTACTAAAAAAGAAAATGAAATTAATATTTCTGAACGGACTAAAAAAAGGAAATTGGAAGAACATTTTCAGAGGAAGAGAGTAAATACTTATCGTTGTTCGCTCATCTCAATTGGGATAATGATTGGGAATTGAATTGAAAGAAATTTGCAAACGTGTGTAGTCTTTCCATACAATGTTCAACGATACATACTTATTCAATCTTATATTTGTAATTTGCATTTGCAATAAATAGTAGAGTGATACCTAGATCAGAGTATAATATAGTCATATTACCAACTTATTTTGTTAGATTTATATTTAATTTTTAAATATATAACTAAAATTTTCTAATTCTACATTTATAATGAAATGGCGTGTAAATTGACTATCCTAGATTGGAAAAAAAATCTCAATCAAACTTAGAAAACCACATAATAAAAAGTTCATTTCCGGGCCGGAGAGTTTTTTTTACGGGAGTCAACAGGCAGATGGGTGGAGTAATTTTTTTTAAAAATTTCAAAGTATTCATCGAAAGATTCGAAAACCAAAGAGGTCTGGTATTATAGCGATGGGATTCAAATATGAAAAGTGACTCTCCTCAAATGCATTCCCCACAATAACAAGTGTCCCCTCCACACTATTATTAATTAAATGCATACACCCATCTCCTATTTCCTCTTTTAAATATTGACCGCCACTGTTGGTTTACATGGCTGCAGCCTGCAGTACGCCCTGTACAATTCAAGCACCAATTATATAATACTCCCTACGTACCAAAAAGTTTGTTACGTTTAGAAAAAATTGCGTCCCGTAAAGTCTGTTACATTTTTATTAAAAAACCACTTTTATCCCTTACTTTTTCATACTCTACCTATTACATCATACTTTTTTTCTAATAATCTACCTATCACATCCTACTTTTACCCATCACATCAATGGTATTTTTGAAAAATCAATACCAAAATATCACTCCCTTAATTTTCCAAAAAGTCAAACCGTCCCATTCTTTTTGAGACGGAGTGAGTATAATACTCCTCTTGTTTCAAAATAAAATAAAATAAAATATAATACTCTTCCTTAATTAATCATTCTAGCTTGACTTAGAACTTACAAACAAAAGTATTACAAGTAAAAATTCAATGGTTAAAATTTGTTTGGCTAAAATCTACCATTGGTCCTTAAACTTTATGAGTTGTACACGATTGGTCCTTCAAGTTTCAAAAGTCCATAAATAGTCTTTTAACTTTATGAGTTCTGCACCATTGGTCCTTCAAGTTTCAAAAATCCATAAGTAGTCCTTCATATTCACGTCAGCCCTCCAGATGAAGTCCTTTTGATAGTAAATATTAAAAGTTAAACGAAATACTAGTTTCATATAATACGAGTAAATTCCACTAGGTACGACTACTCTGTATTATATGAAGCTAGTATTCCATTTAGCTTTTAACATTTACTGTCAAATGGGCCTCATCCGGAGGATTGACGTGTACTTGAAGGACTACTTATGCACTTTTAAAACTTGGAGGACCAATCGTGCATAACTCATATAGTTGAAGGACTATTTATGGAATTCTAAAACTTGAATGACTAATCGTGCACAATTGTTAAAGTTGAAGGACTAATGGTGGAGTTTAGCCAAATTTGTTTAGAAGTAAAAATAATGGGCCATATAGTTTTTACTTAATTGTGTAAGTAAAGAAGTATGACAATTATTTTAGGACAAACTAACAAAAAAATAGGATGATTAATTCAAGATAGAAAGAATATATGCCCATGAAATTCATAGTACGAAGTGCTGCCTCCTAAAAGAGTTAAAGTTCGACATTTAATTTGATCAAACATGATTATTTAGAAATAGTGGTTTCAGTATCATCGATTATTTTGTACAATAAGATTTACTTAGATCGATTGAGAATTTTAATAGCCGTTGTAAATGACTTGGGTGGTGTGGAGTGCACGTTCCTTCAACGATATTATAAATTCCGTAGCAAGGTCTAAAGGGCAAAATACGTATTTGCCTTATGAAAACCTTTTAGATTTTTGTAAACAGAGTCAAAATTATAAAACATTCGAGAGTAAGAATAAACACATTCTAATATAAAGATTATCGCCAACAACCTTTACAAAACCGCACGTAACATTATAATGTTTAGTAGCAAACGTTCGAATGTTTCGTGATAAATTCGCGCACAAAACCACTGAAATGATATGTTTAACAATAACTATTGCAAATGTTTGAATGTTCTGGCTAAACATTTGAATGTTCAAGGAAAAGTTATGTTGTTTCGTACTCCATCTGTCCCAAATTAAATTTTTTGTTTACTATTCACAGGGTCAAACTTCATTTACTTCTTTTCTCTATTCTTGTTAGTCATTTGATAAAATAATATAGTCATGTCACCACTAGTTTTGTAGATCATTTAATGTAGTATTTTAACATGTAATTTTTATTTTTTAATTCTACACCATTTTCATATAAAGTGATTTGAAAATAATTTCAGTCAAATATCATAAATTGAAACAAACAATATAAATTAGGATGGAGTAATAAAGAGGCGCATCCGATCAATTTGTGCTCTATAAATACGGAGTCTCATGGTATGTTTGAATAACGACAAATCTTCAAAACTCGTTCTAGATATTAACATATTATCTAATTGAAGTATTTTGATATATTCTAAAATAGTTTAATCTAAAAGCAATCATGTAATTTGTTTAGTCTATCAGATTTCTTCACGTTCCCTCGTATACCGTTCTTCATAACGCTGCTACGCAACATTATAGCCCCTCCTATATTTCTAACAAATATAGAATTTCATTGTTGAGTTTTATGTGCAAAAGATAAATTATATAGAGTATCACCTTGGTTCCCATGACATTGGGAACCCCAATGTCATGGGATGACCTGAGGGTGCTCCGGTGCCCCGTTCGTAAAATTAAAAATTTCTACCCCCCTAACCCCCCTGGTAAACCCCCCCACCCCGCTCCGACCCGAACACACACCCCCGCCCCCTTCAATTGCACCCCACAAGTCGATTTTGACTTTGGAGTCAAATTTTAACTCCAAAGTCAAAATCGACTTGTGGGGTGCAATTGAAGGGGGCGGGAGTGTGTGTTCGGGTCGAGGCGGGGTGGAAGGGTTTACCGAGGGGGTTAGGGGATAGGAATTGTCAATTTTACGAACGGGGCACCGGAGCGCCCTCGGGTCATTCATGGCATTGGTTCCCAATGTCATGAGAACCTTCCCCATAGAGTATTATATACACATATATAGAGAAAGTTAGAAAGAGAAAAAGTGAAAAACAAAAAAATGTGAGAAAACTTTACAGATATACAAGAAAACTTTATGTCCAAAAAAGTGTTGTTTTGGACATAATAGTTAGAGCTTTAGTTCATAAAATTTTAAACAGATATACAAGAAAAACTCAAAATAATGACACTCCATATTTTCATAAATACTCATTATGTGTCTTTGAATCTCCTTTAGTCGTTTTGATGTTAACGAATAATAAAAGAACAATAATTTATTACAAGTTTTTAAATACATCTAAAAATCTACTCCGTATTTTATAGACCGCACCCACCAAGCTAAGCACCGATTACCCACACCAGGCAATCTTGACTGATCCAAATCCACGAAGATCCCCTCTATTACCACATATTTTGGCATATAAAATAAAATAAAAATACTAGAGGTACGCTAAAAATATACTCCAAATGTACACCACCTCCTCTTATGTGCGTGTGGCTCACGTCCGTGTAACAACTCTCGACTGAATCATCATAAAATATTACACCAAACACAATAGAACATCTTCTAATGTGTTGATAAATCTACCAACGAATGACTTCTGACTTGAAATAATTTTGTTTAGTCTTTCTCCTTGGCGTGTTACACTTTTTCAAGTTATACTTCAAGAACGTGCTCGCAGCCCTTCTCTAGATCAGTAATGTCTTCAATGTCTGAACTAGATGACGAACATTAACATCACCCGTTGTGAATGAGTTCACCGTTCAGAAACAGAGCTTCAAATCATCTATGTAAAGATATGGATTAGTAGCGTGCTTTCTTTCATTGTGTGTATGATGAACTCTCGTAAAAGTTTGCAACCTCTTGGATCTCTCGTGTATAATTCTTTTTTGATCAAGAGATTTGATGGTATATATGACCACTTCCTTGGCGGGATAGTTGAGAAGGAAAAAATAAAATAAACTAGTACGTGGCACTTTAACCAAAATAAAGAATACAATGGTATAATGCATAAAGAACTCCTACAAAATGCTCCTGTGCACTATAAATATTTGGTCCTTAGCCAGGAGTTCCCTACACAATCCCATATGCCTCCTATATACAGTCATTAATTGATTGGCATTTTGTAATCTCTTGCCTAGTGTACCTTGTTAAACCTGACTTTTTACAAGTGCAACTGTTTCTTCCTTGCCCTCAGATGATAGATTAGAGCAGGTCGTCGTCCCATTTGTGCCCACACTGGGGCTCTGCCAAAAGTGCCTCCTCATCGACCTGAATTGCAGATCAATGGAGGAGGAACTTGGGCCTGAAAGCAGGTCCTCAACAAGGGTATGTCCTTGCAGCATGCTCACCACTTGAGACATTTTAGGCCTCAGCGTTGGGGATGCGTTCGTACATAGGAGTGCTATTTTTAGCACTAACATCACCTCTTCCGGTTCGTAGTTAGAGCCCAACTCAGGATCCACTAGTTCAAGTATGTTGCCTCTCTCTTGTAAAACATAGGCCTAGTTGAAGCAGAAGATGTCTAGTGTCATTGAACTTGAAGTATTGAATAAAAGAACGGCAGGGTTCATGTGACATTTGATTTCAATGCCATAGCATGACCCGGGCTTCCTACAATGCTCCGTTCAAAAAGTTGATGATTCCTACCCCCTTAATCCCCCTGCACCCCTAGCGCCCCCTCCTCCCCTTCGACGATTGGCTTCAGTGGTCACTATAGCCAATCGGCGAAGGGAGAGGGGCGTGGCTTGGGGAGGTGGGAACCATGCCATACGAGACCCAGGTCATGCCATGACATTGAGTTGAATGTCATTTGAACCACGCCGATAAAAGAAAACTACAAATTCTAGTTACCCAGTCTAGAAGATAGACAAATTCATCCTTGGGCCTGTAGCTGGTGTTGCTTTTGCCACTGACGATTTCAAAAGCAACGACCCCAAAGCTGTAGACATCTGCTTTGTTGGTTAGGTGGCCACGCATCGCATACTCAGGAGCCATATAGCCTCTGCATAGGAAAAGTTAGAAGATAATAATTTTGATGGATATTGTTCTGGTAAGGCCACTCAATGGTATTAAATAAGCAATAGAGATTTAAAAAAAACTACTTACACGGTCCCTGCAATCCGGGTGCTGATGTGGGTATTTTCGTCCTCGTGAAGTTTAGCGAGGCCAAAGTCAGATATTTTAACATTCAGGTTCTTGTCAAGCAAAATGTTACTGGTCTTGATGTCTCTATGAACTATCTTCAAGCATGATTCTTCATGAAGGTATGCCAATCCTTTAGCAATTCCCAAACAGATTTTGCTCCTTGTAGGCCAGTCTAATTTAATCTTGTTTGTACTATCTTTTCCTATCAACCAGAACATGCAAAGAAAGAAAACACGTAATTATGCTTGGAAATGCCAACAAAATAGGTGAGTTATGGAGAGGGGTATATTTAGTCTTACGAAATAGAGCGCGGGATACACAATTGTTTTCCATGTACTCATAGATTAGCATTAGTTGATTCCCTTCAACACAACACCCATATATTTTGACAAGATTTGGATGTTTCAATGCAGATATCATGCGTATTTCATTCAGAAATTCACTAGTTCCTTGCTTTGATTTCGATGATAACTTCTTCACGGCAACTGTTGTTCCATCTGATAATTGGCCCTGCATCATCAAATAAACACAGATTTTGTATATCAAAATTTGGCCAAGGGGCATTTTGATAATGCTCAGACACTAGCATAAAGTAGCTGCAAATCGTTTGTTCTTGATTTGAGCATTGGTTTTTGTAACTTTCTAGACAAAAACCACCCTCCCCAAAAACCACTAACAAAAAGTAGCTCCTTACCTTGTAAACTGAACCAAAACCACCCTCCCCAATCTTGTTTCCATCATCAAAGTTCTTTGTTGCAGCTTTGATCTGTCTTAAGGTGAAAATGCCAGCTTGTAAATCCAAGGCTCTAAGATCTGCCAAAACATAAACCAAAATTACAATGGAGTAAATTTTAGTAAGGTACAATGCTCAATAACGTGTTTACCTCCCTCCTCAGATACTTTTCTTCGCTTTAAGAGCATCAAATAGACAATGCCTACTACCAAAAGTATCAAGGACACAACTCCAGCAACAAGAATTCCAACTATTTCTCCAACAGGAATGTTTTTATCATCGTCCGGTGGTGTGAAATCTACAATAGAATTATCAAGATTCCAAGTCTAAGAATGTTACGGAGTATATGTTTAAAACAAAAAGGTACCAAAAAGGAAAAGAAACTTGCAAGAACATACTGGGGTCAACTGATATTGCAGCAATTAGAGGGCCATAAACTCCTCTATCAGGTATTCCCGTTGTTCCTTTCCCACCCCAGTAAAAACGCATCTTCAGCGTCTCATTTGTTACGGCTACATTGAAAATCTTTACAATGGGTTTACCCGGTCCTCCTGCCTCTTTCTCAATGTTAAAATCCTTCACTACCAGGTTTTCCTAAACAAGAAGATGCACACGGCTTTATACTGATCATAATAATAATAATAATAATACTAATAATAATAATAATAATAATAATATTTCACTCTCCTGGCTTTTAATTTACCTGCAAGTAGATATCAAAGATACGCTTCCCGAGGCTAGTAAAAGAACCATCATTTGTAAATATGATCTCCGCAAAATGGAGTTTGACAGTGTAATTTCCATTCATCATACACAATCCATAGTAAGTGAGAGAGAGGGGCGACCCACGTGCAGTCGTATAGAGTTCAGAATCAAGAGTAGTGAGATTATGCAGGGCAGAGGTATTAGTATAAATATAGGAATCGCCAGAGACATCATTGTCCATGAAGTTTCCTGTGCTGCTAAATGCCCAACTTGGTTTTGAATAGAACAATGAAGCACCCCGGTCATCTAAGTCGGCCTCATACATTGTACCATTGCTTATAATTGTGTCTTTGCCTCCACAATTAATGTGCAAGGAATAACTCTCTGCTTAAAGCTCAGAAAATACTAGTTAGTCAAAGTAATTGAGCCTAAACATGTATTTGTCAATTTCAGCCTGTTTAGCAAAAGCTTGTGGGCAGGCACAGGAGTGCTTTTAGTGGATCAAAAGCAATTTTACATGTAAACAATGATGTGCTTCTTTTTCCGAAAGTATTTTTGAGATTACCAAAGGTACTTTGGAGATAAATATGTATTTCTGGAAATTCCAATAAAAATATTATGTCACTGCATTGCCAAAGGTTACACTGTTGTTTGGTAGAAGTGCTTTTGGTATAAGATCTTCTAACAAAAAACTTGGATCTTAGTAATTTTAACAAAACACGTCCAAACAAGGTGCCTTAAAATTACCATTGATCCATTCTATTTTGCAGCAGATATTAAATACGGAGTAGATGGTAGTTTTACTCACTCCGAGACCTCGGGTCAAAGCAAGGAAAGTTATGTTTGAGGCATGGATGAACTCTGGTTCTGGTGAGAGAATATCAAATATTACAACACCGTCTGTATTAGCCTCAATGATAATATATATAAATAAAAAAATCTCTTTTGGAGCAGCTTAGTTCAACAAATGGAAGAAAAGAGTTGCTAGAAGAAGAAGATTCTTACACGTTTCCGAATGAGGAAAAGCCTTCCAGCAAGTTACTGGAGACATTATATAGATTGGGAAGTTTCTTAATCCAAATGGCTTGGAAAAAAAAAGGGAAATCATAAAGTTTAGTCTTAACAAAGAACATACACATTTCCACTAGGGCATTCCGTTGGGCCTGAGCTCTGCAATGAGAGATTGTTGTAGGAAATATCTCTGCACCAGAAGAGCAATTGTGAACAATGGAAGATACGGAGTAATATATTTCCGCAGCTAACTTTTTATTCACATTAGAAACTTGAACGTTGATGGCTAAATCAGAAATAAACATACATATTTTTGTTTGAAGATAAAATCCACTTTGGGACAGTTCCAGTGAGGCTGTTCCTGGTCAAATACCTTCAAAGTACCCCAAAAAATGTCAGTTTTAGTTGAACATATGGTTGCAAACACACAAGAAATTGTCAACCCCTTACATGAAATCTGCTTTGGATAGTTGAAAAAAAGAAGTTGGAATCCCACCGCTCAAATTGTTATAACTCAGGTCCCTAAACCCATCAGTTAAAAAAAAACCACGAGTTAAGAAGAAAGCAAGCATTTTGGATCAACATGTAAAAGTAACAGCATACAGAGTTTTCAATCGTCTAATGTTCCCAAGATATTCTGGGATCTCTCCATCTATCATGCAGTTCCGCAATACCCTGCATTTTGAAGAGGCAATAAATGAACAAATGAGTAATTGTTTCGAGTCCTCAAAAAGCCTTCAATTTTAATGGAAGGCGCGAAAAGGAACTCACAGTATCTTCATGGATTCCATTCCCTTTAATTGAGGGAAACTGGACCTCTCCCCCTTCAAGTCACTTATCCTCCTGAAACACACGAATAACCCAAAAATAGCCATTCTGCTTATATTTTTTCTGCTCAAGTCAATTCACTGGAAATATAAGGCACAGAAGGCGAGAGATGAAACATCATACAGATCAATCAAAGTTGTTAAGTTGGAAATTTCTGAAGGTATAGGGCCTTCAATGGAACAGCCTAGAATGTGCCTGCAGCATGGAACTACTAATTATAATCTGACCAAAAACATTTTAGAAGGTGTCTTTGAACAAACGCACGGACGAAATCCTACAGTTTCTCAATTTTTGTCCATTTGCTGATGAAATCCGGTATCTGTCCTGTGAAGTTATTGTCACTTATCCTCCTACAAGTGAAAAAGTGTGAAAGCTGAATAAGTGACACTAAAATGGCATTCATGTCACGATTACTTAGCAAACAATAAAAATAATAAAATATCGAATGCTCACAGATCAGTTAAGTTCTTCAGCATGCCAAGCGCGGATGGTAAATTTCCTGTAAATGCATTTGAGGACAATACTCTAAAAACAAAAAAGAAGGATCTAAAATCAGTGCAAAAAGAAACAGAAGAAACATATGATTCACGAGTAAGGGGAAGCAAAAGTACAGTTTCTCAAGATGAACCAAGTTCGCAATCTCCAAAGGAATAGATCCCGAGAAGCTGTTTCCTTCTATGCTCCTATGAATTGTAATAGTTCAGAACATAGAATCTGGATGAGGCTGCATATATTTACTAGAGCATATATTTACTGCAGTATGAACTTGTTGATTTTAACTATAGATTAACATAATGTCCCTTTTACTTCTACAAGTTTTGGAATTAGGTAATTAATTCTCTTACATTCGTATTCATGACAATAATCATCTAACATGCATAACCTTTTACGTAACGATATGATCACATTTACTTCATTTGCTTAAACAAAAAGGTTCATTGTAGAAGCAGTCAAAACTTAATGAGATGAGAAAAAACATATCACGCACAGGTTCCTGAGGGTATTGATTCTGGTGAGAACGGATGGAAACGGACCCGATAACCGGTTCCCCATAAAAGAGCTGCAGACGCATGACACGCAAGAACGATACATCAGCAACGACAATTCCACTCCATTAATTAAAAAAACCAGATAGAAAAACAAAGAAAACGAGGAAGGGAAATCAGATGTTACAGGTCGAGCAGGCGCATGGAAGCCCATTGTTGGGGGATAGAGCCATTCAGATAATTACGGCTGAGATCCCTGCTTATATATGAAAACAGCAATTTAGAAGCCATAAATGCCAGCATATAAGTAACATTTACTATATGATATATAACTAACCTTTCAATAACATTATACTCCAATTCATAAGAATCTAAACTTACAAGGTTTTGAGGTGTTGGAACTTGGCGAATTCTGGGGGGACGCCTCCTGAATAGTTTTGGGACTTCAGAGTTCTGCAGCCATTGTTCCCCCATTGATTAATTAATTACAGTAATTAAACCCTAAACACCAAAAAATACGGAGTAATAATTACTCCATATAATGCTCGTATTATTAAATACGAGTATATGAAACAGAGAAAATAAAACCAGCCATCATTTTCTTAATCAACTCTTCTTTTCAGACACTGTTTTTACTAGGTATTCAAATCCTAAGGTAATAAAATTAAAGTAAAAAAACTATAAAAACGGATCCAACGTCTAGTTTTTAAATTTGTAAAAGACTATGTAATAACAACAACGTTTAACTTTAATGTTTTCTTACGTAAAAAAGAAAGAAACTGTATTGTTTTCCAAATAAATATTCAATAAAACTAAAATATCTATCACGAAATTTAAAATACGGTTTCAAAAGACTTTCAACTGAATTATTGCGTGCTTGCAAGTTGCAAATAAATGTCGGAATCATTTATTTAATAAGTACCCCACTGAGTACTAAATTGACTCTATTGGGTCCGACTAAGAATTAAAAAAAATAAAAATAAAAAAGTGGGATAATAGTATAGAATAATTTGCTCGTTATTTTAAAACCGGAGTAGTCGTAATTTGATAGTGAAGTGATAACAATATTGACAAGAGAAGATCGACACACCCCCATATTACACATGCAGCTAGCTGGAAAAGAAGGTTGACTATTCAGTCAACCTGTCTTGACTGAATACAGCAAAACAAAAGGTCAAATGAGTCATTTTAATTTTTTGGTTTCTATAAAATTTCTGTTTTTGGTTCCAGCCTGTAAAATTTATGTGGAGAATGTTGAGTAGTGAGCACAAGGGTACTAATTATGCCCAACTGAAAAGCGGGTTTTGAAATCGTTTAGTAAATTAAATCTGGAATCAAACATTTTTTAGGTGCAGACTTTTTAAAATTTCAAGTAAATTGGATATCACAGTATTTTTCAATTTAATTGGATATTACAAGGAAAACTCTGGCCCAATTAATTACTCCGGTGTGTATTATTTTTTTTCTCTACTTTTTTACTTTACTGAACAAAAGAAAATATAATTTCTTTCTTTCTTTTTTTTCCTTCTCTTTACCTTCCGCCAATTTTCCCGTCAAACAAAGGGACAAATTAATAACCACACCGACAAGGAAATGGTGGGCACCATATCATTGATGTTTTGGAAGGAGGGAAGAAATGATCTCATTTTGGTTGGAAAGAAGAAAAAAGTTGAAGAAGAAAAAATTCAAGAAAAAACACGGATTTTTTTCTTGTTTGGCTGAAAAAAAAATGAAGAGAAAAAAACAATCACCTAACAAAAAAAGTTTCTTTCTTTCTTCAAATATAAGCAATAGATTTAGCAAAAATAACATTAACAAAAAACTTTCTTTGGGTTAATTACTGCGTAATTATTTTTGACGCGACTTACACACGGCTAACTTTTGAAATACGGAGTACTTTAGAGAGTTAATTATTATTGCTTGCATTGCATCCGCTATTAATGGTAAAAATAGCTTGACATTAATTGATGGAAAGTCAAAAAGAAAACAAAAAATTACCGCCATTCTCTCATTTGGCTAGAGTGAGTGGTAGACTATCCCAAAACCAAACCAGACGTCGAACTGGAGAAGTAAGTCTTATGCTCTTTCTGTCCCACAATTAATGACACACTTTCACATTTAAAAATCACGGGAACTTTTGTATTTTGTATGTTTTCATAGATTATTTCATAAAATAAATATTATTGTCAGATATTGTTTTGTAAAACTTTTGACATACTTCCTCCGTTCCTAAAAACATCGGAGGTTTTGTTTTTTAAGAAATTTAAGGTAAGTGTATTTTGGTGTTGAGCTTCCAAAAATGTACTTGGATGGGACGGATGAAAAAGAAAGGAGAAAAATTTTTAGGGACAGAGGATGATGGTGTAAATTACTTGACTGGTCAAACTATACTAGACCGGGTCTAGAATAGTTTACTTGATTTGGTGGAGTAAGAAAGGTAAAAACACGCAGATTGACCGGTAGGACTTTAGGTGGAACACCTATAGCCCAATTTATATTATAACGGAGAATGCACGGGTGTCTTTACAAGTGAGTTTAGAGAGAGTGAATTTGGATCCCTCTTTCTGAGGTTTACATGAGTATTTATACTAGGCTAAGGGGGACAAGACCACGTGCGCACACGTGGGGGCACGCTGCTGATGTGGTGCGAGGTGACTGGTTTTGTCCTCGAGTAGCCTTGTCGCCTTGTGAGGGGAATTACTTCCCTTGTCGCGTTCTGGCTTGGAAACATTCTTTCAGCATCTCCAGTTGTCCTCCACTGACATGGGTCGCTACACGCCAAGCCCTTTTAGATTCTCTTCTGCCGACACTTTCCAACCCTGGAAACTACACCGGGTAATCTCCGAGGGATGAAATCATCGAAGTTAGGGAATAAATAGGTTGACAAAGTAGTTTGACCGGTATACTTTTTCGTGAAGTATACCGGTCATATTTGGGCCGATCACATATCAATTTGCTGATGATTTAAGTCTCCCTTCCAAAACTTTCGAGATTGACCGGTCAACTAATTGGTCTTCTCCTTTGACCGGTCGTGGGTGGCATACACCCATCAGAGGATGTAATTCTTAAATATGTAAACTTTAGTTTTATACTAATCTTTAAATAAAAAGAATTGAGAAAATTTAAAATTTTATTTCCTTCTGTGCAATGTGATATTCTTTTTTGGACGGAGGGAATACATTTTAGTATAATTGAGTTGACTATTTGATCAACGCAATCATAATAATCATAAAAAAAATCCGGTGGTGCAGAGTGCGCGCTTATTTGTGTTATGATAATACCCTTGTTTTGCCTTAAAATATTATATAGGGGTTCGAAAGGTGTTTTGGTGGGGTTCAAGGGCAGCACCCCCGAAAGCAGGGTCCAAGAGGTAGAGCTTCAATTTTTTTATTTTGGACAAAGAGTTATGTTAAAAAGTCATTTGAATTTTTTATTTTTGGATGTGGACATAAGAACATCCGAAGCACATCCTCTTGAACTAATCAATAGACACGAACTTTTGAGAGAGGCACCAAACGCCAGTTCTCGTTTTTCATTGCATAGATAAAGTATCTGTTTGGGAATAGCGTTAGAGATTAGCGTTAGCGTTTTGAAAAGGCTATCTACGGCCAGCGTTTAGAGTTAGCGTTTTCAAAGTAATCTGCACCGTTAAAATCTTATCCAAAACGCTAACGCTATTCCCAAACAGGCCCAAAATTCATCTGTAAGATTGGTCTGAGTTGTATCCGATTGAAAGATTCGGATGAACCACCTAGTTTCAATCTGAAAGTGAATGCGTACATGCCTTTCAGAGAATCCTAGTTTAGATTGTATTTGTGTCCTGGTCACGATCCGACACGTCACACCGTTTGGACTAGACGCTAGTTTTTACCTTTGTTGTCGCAGTGAGTTTGTCGAGTTTTACCTTTTATAGTTAAATTATATAAATAATGATGACCATTAGAAAATTCTTGTACGTTGTACAATATGAATTAATGAAATAAATTTTTAAAAAATATTTTTAAAATAAATATGTAATGTAATTTTTATTTAATGAATCATAATAATTCGCTTAATTTAACTTCAAAATATCAAACTTGACAAATAGATTGGGATCATGATAGTATTGAATTATAAAGACAACTAAACCAAAAAAATGAATTTGAGAAGTAGCTGAGTCAAAGCTGCCAACTCCAGTTCCATAAATACTTCCTCCATCCCAAATTATTTGTCACATTTCTATTACCGAGAGAAAATATTAAGTTTTTTCAACTCATTTTATTTATATATTGGTAAAAAAATAAAAAATAAAAATTACATATCAAAAAACTAAATGAAAAGTTCTTCGAAATAAGAGGTGTCAAGAATATTTTATTTTATCAAATAACCAATGAAAACGTCGAAATAAACAAAAGTTCTCGCGACTGCTGAAAAAACAAATATTGTGAATATTTAGGGACGGAGGGAGTATAAAACCGAGAAGCACACCCGCCCCCCTCCTTTTTAGATTCTGATACGGGTTCCAAAGCGCAGATTCGGGTACCCATACATGTCCACCACTTGTTCTCAAGCGTAAGATAAGGTCTTTTCTTTTGTGATGAGTTAGCATTTTAGATTTAGATTTCAAAATTTTGAATTTTAGAATTGAAATGTAAGTAATGAAGTTAAAGAAAGGAGTTTATTTTTTAAAATTGTGCAATAAAAACTCCTACCCCAAGTCCCGCCCAAAGACAAAGCCATTATTAATGAAGGAAAGCTTAAAAGGGAAAAATCCTAATCGTGTTTAGCCAAGCCTGTTGGATTTATAAAATGAAGAACACTGCTTCGCAGTGTTAAACGAAGAACTCGATAGAATAACGAATCGCGTACGAAACGCTTTCAGATCAAAGTTATTTCGGGGTATACGAAATACTTCAATCGGATAAGACGTTAATTCAGAACAAGCACTCGAGAATCTATATGTCAACCCATACCACGAGACTCTATTTTATAGAGTCGAAAATCCTTGTGATCGGACATGAACATTCGCGTAGATGTACGCGTATGTTCGCGCAAGAAGAAGAAAGGTGCGAGTTTGAACGAAAGGTCTCCTGCGGTTGAAGGCTTAATTTCGACGTTTATCCATTATGTACGAGTCCTTTACCGTTTAGGACTCCGGTCACGAAAATCTTAAGGATTTTCTTAAAGAAACAACGTCCGGCCAGGGGCTCTTCCCCTTGGACCCCGCCAGGGGCTGCCGCCCCTTGGACCCCGCCACCCGGGGGCTGCCGCCCCCGGACCCCGCAGTGAATTTATAATATCGTTGAACGAGCGCGCACTCCGCGCCTCCTAACTCGGTTGACAACGTCTATTTAAATTCTTGTCCGATCAAAGTAAATCCAATTATACAAAATAAATTGATGACACTAAAATCACCAACAAAGCCCAAGGCTAATAAACCAAGAGTTGGCAAATCTTAGTGCCTAACCACCTAATTCATCATATACCAAACATTTGCATAGGCAGCCAAATTTTTTAGTTCAACCCAAGAAAAAAAAAGGTTAGAGGGTAAAAAAAAAGGTTAGAGGGTAAAAAAAAAAGTTTTCAATCACAAGTTTTGATAGCAATGAAAGAAAAGTGGCCCCCACATCCCAACCTGACGGAGAAGTGAGGGGTAAATTACGGTAGTACCCTTTGCAAATTCCGGAATAGATAGATAAAATTCCCAGTTACTTAAGAGATGAAATGGTAAAGAAAAGAGGGAGAGAGAAAGGGGAAAAATACATGGCAATGATATGGCAGAGGGTGGCGCCGTCAAAAGAGCAATCGCAAGTGATAGTGGTCTCAAACCCTTTCCTTGGAACTCTGGTCCCACTCCAACTCCCATTTCCACCACCGCAAGGATCCGGCACCCCCAAATCCTTCCCGAACCTCTTCCGGATCTCCCCGAGCGCCGCCGCTGCAACCCAATCAAACGCAAAAAACCATTAGCAGAAACTATGAAGACCCAAGAATTCTTTGGGTTTTTGGGGGGAGAAGGGAATATGGAAGAAATTGCAGTGGTGGCGGCGGCGGCTACCCTCTTGTGGGTGGAGGTTGGGAGTGGCGGCGGCGGCGGCGGCTGAAAGAGAGGGCGAGAGGAGGAGAGAGCAGCAGCAGAGTGTGCACAGAAGTGGAAGCTTTTTGGAGAGGAAAGACGGTTGGGGTTTTGGGTCTTCCATTAATTTTGCTTCATTCAATTTCGTGAGCTCACTCTCCGTCTGTCATCTGCACCCCGTCCCTCATCATATATATATACATGGATCAAATTATTTCTACTCCCAATTCCAAAACGTGTATTTTGGGTGTATTCTTGATTTAGACTTTTACACTTGTAAGTTTATGTTAAAGACAAAGGTGTTGTTATATCCACTATGGTTAAGTGCGCTCTATTTATAATTAAATATAATGGAAAAACTTGGTCTTAAAATCGTGAAAAAAATCATACTTACTAATATACAGCTGACGTATAATACCTCAATACATATGTTCCTGTATAATACGTTAAGATTTTATAAAATACGACTTACTATGCATATTAAATATTTGGCATACGGATACGGATACATACGCATTTTAAACGTTTTCTATTTTTAAAATACGTCTTATTATATGTTTATATATGTTATCATATATACATCAAATTTACACATAGGGATTGACTCCAGTGAGATGACACCTTACGGTGCGATGACATGCTTCGGTCAGATGACGCAAAGCTCACCACACTACACTACAAAGCTCACCAATGGACAATGCAAAGCTCACCTGGAAATAAAACAAAGCTCACCATTTTGAACCCGAAAACTCACCTTTTTTTAATTTTGAAAATTAAAAAGTTAATTAAAAATAAAATAGCAACACCGGTCAACGGCGGCCGCAAGCGGCGGTGACCGGCGGCGGCCGGCGGCGGCAACCGGAGACTGGCGACCGGCGGCGGCGGCGGCGGAATATGGTGAACTTTTCCTTATAGTTTGGTGAGCTTTGTAGTTGTGCTTGGTGAGCTTTGCAGTGGGCAGTGGTGAGCTTTGCGTCGTCTGACCAAAGCATGTCATCGCACCAAAAGGTGTCATCTCACTGGAGTCAATCCCTTACACATATTTATCGATTGATAGTTATCAATTTATATTGGGGTAAATAATCAAAATACAAAAATATTTTAAATGAAATATTTACAATAGATTTTTTCAAATTAGAATCTCTATTTATTTAAAAAATATTTATTTGAAAAAATATACACTCCCTTCATTAGGAAAAATATCCTTATTTGACTTTCATGTAAGTAGTTTAAAAAATGTAAAAAAATAAAAACTTTATAGTTTGAATATTTTTAGAAAAAAAGAGTTGTGAGTCACTCATTCCTTTCTAAAACGAAAATGAATATTTTGAGACAGACAAAAAGGAAAAGAGTGAAGTCTTTTTTTGAACTTGACAAAAAAGTGTAAAACTTTTTGTAGAATGTAGGTAGTATATATTTTTATCAAATTGATTAAGTATTGTATATATAATTGATATAAAGTATTACTCGTATTTTATTAAATATTTTTGGAACAAATTAATATTTGTTGTTGTATAAAAAAATTTATACAACAACAAATATTAATTTGTTGTTGTATAAAAAAATTTATAATGAAATATTCAATTCATACGTACTATACGTAATTATACATATAGTATCAAATATACGTGTATTTTAAAGTATTTTTGAAAATCATACGGATACGTGAGTATAATACGCGTAGTATACGTACGTAAGTATAATACGTGTATTATACGCGTATTAACTAACTAGGAAAAAAAATACAACTTTCGTTCTAAAATTATGATTTTTGCACTTAAATTTTTAAAACTTTGACCATATATTATGAAAAAATACATTGAATTTTAATATAAATTTCTAGGAATTGAACACGTGACCTCCCATATGGAAGAAGAATCCTCTTAGTGTCAACTGTGTCATTACAAGGTCTTTGGCTCACCACCCTCTTTTAAATTATCTCAAAATGACTCTCCATCTAGATTTAATCTTTTCATTTTTCGTTGGGGAGGTGGGCAGCCAGCGTCAAAGCTTTAACGTGGGAGGACTGACGCCCCTTAACTCCGCCATAGAGGCAGTGTTTAACGCACTATGGGCGTCAAAAGGCGGTTGACGCCAGGGTACGTCAGCCCCATTTCCACTACTCTAAGTCTTCTTTATTTTCATTTTTAGGATTTTTACCCAAACCTAAAATCTTAACTACTAACTTAGTTGAGATTAGGGATGACAGCAGGTCGGGTTCGGTAGGATTTGAGTATATTGAAGCCCGATCTGACTTAGGTCGGGTTCGGGTTTTATTTTGGCGGGTTAGTTTTGAATATTAATTTTTTTTGGTTCGAATTCTGTTTAAGATTCGGTCGGGTTGGTTACGGTCAATTTCGAGTCTCTTCGCGTATCAAAATCAAAGTCATGCTTTCTATGTAGACATTTATTCAAACAATCACTGATAATTCACTTCTTGGGTTGATTTATTTTAAGGAATGAAAAAGACTCACCTTGTTAATTGTTACTTCCTCTGTCCCCCTGTATTTGTCCACATTTGACTTTTGAAACTGTTCATCTAAGCACTTTGACTCATCAAATTCTCTCAATGTGTAAGCCTAAATATAGTCATGTGTAATCTTGTTTGATTTGTCTTAACATATAGATTATTAATATATAATTTTTATAATTTTTTAATATACAAATTACAAGATAAAATGGATTAAAGAAGTGCATTGGATGGTGTGTAAAAATGAAAGTGGACAAATACAGGTGGACGAAGGGAGTATGTATTTTTTCATTGTTAGAATCAAGTTACCTCCCCATTTGATTATGTATTTTATCTCTAACATTAGACAAGGACAAAGCAAGAAAATTTAAGCTTGTTCCATTTTATCTCGATCTCAAATATTACGAGACAAAGCAGGAAAGACTTGTTACCCAAACTGCTCTGAACCATTTAAATAAAACGGGATGGGACGTGAAATTGCGAAATACTCCCTCCATCTAAAAAAATTTCTTATTTCCATCTTGGAACGTTTCAAAAAATTCTCCTTTTTCTTTTATGAAAACATTGAATGGCTAATTATGTTTTTTCTCATCTACATCACTTTCAATTACTGGTAAATTTCACGTATAGTACCTAAACTTTCAACAATTTTTCGTCTTGATACCTAAACTTCATTTTCTTTCATAAAAATACCTCAACATTGAAAAATCTTTCACAAATAGAACCTGAAGCCAACTTTAAGGAAATCATTAGGTCATTTGAGCTAAATTACAATTTTATACTCCATCCGTTTCTTAAAACCGTTTCTCTTTCATTTTTTTTATTTTTCTTAAAACACTTCCCCTTTCTATTAAAAAACCACTTTTACCCCTACTTTTTCATACCCTACCTATCACATCATACTTTTTCACTAACAACTAAACTATCACATCTTACTTTTAACCATCATATTAAGGGCAAAATTGGAAAGTCAACTACAATTTAACACTTCCTTATTTTCTCCCAAAGTCAAAAGAGGAACTCTTTTGAAAAACGGAGGTAGTATATTTTAAAATCTTCAATTTAACCTCATTTCTTTTTTCTTCTTCTTCCCCTCCCACTCCCTTCTTTTCCTTTTTCTTTTTGGCCTTTTCTTCTTCTTCATCCTTTCTCCCATTTTTTTCTCCTTCAATAAACCCTCCACTCACAAGTCACAACAACCCACGCCTCCCCCTTCTTGTTTAACCACACTCCTTTTCTTGAGTCCCCTCTTTTTTTTGGTTAATTTTAACTTCCTCGTGTTTTTTTGTTTCTAATTTTTTGTTGAATAACTTTTTTTAATTTATATCAATTTTATTATGGTATATGTCTCTTTAGTTTTTTTTTGGTCTTTTATATTTGTAAATTTGTTTGTTTGTTTTTCTATTTCTTTCTCGATGTTTTAATATTACTTGTTTACAAATTTTTTTACTAACTTTTTGTTAGTTTTTTATTTTCTTCTTAACAAATGTCTAATATTTTGTTTGTTTGTTTTTTGTTTTATTTCTTTTATTTTTTTTTTTGACTTATTTTTTTTGTTTGTTTTCGATCTTTGTTATAAACAGTTAAAAAAATAGTTAAATAAAATCTGCCCAAAACAAATAAAAAAAGAGAATTAGAAATAATAACTGTAATAATAAAAAAAAATACTAATTAATCTTTTGCTTTTATTTTCAATCTTTTGTTTTAACCAACGTCTTATCTTTTTTGTTTGGTATTTTTATATATTTATTCTTTTCATAAAAAGAGTAAAAAAAATAATTGAAATTCATTCTTTTTTTGTTTGTTTTATTTTATATTTTTTGTTTGTCATTTTATTTTATCTAATTTCAATCTTTTTTGTAAGAAATTAAAAATAAAATAAAATAAATCCAAATTAAATAAAAAAGATGAAAAACACAAAAATTAAGACAAAAATAACAAAAATACGTAGTAGTATTTATTTCAATGTTCTTTTTTTGTTAATTTTTTTATTTTTTTTATCTTTTTTCTAGATATTTTAATATTATTTATTTGTTTGTTTACGATATTTATTTGTTTGTTAACATTTTTGTTTGTTTTTCATCTTTTTTTGTTTAGTTTGAGCATATTTTATTCACTTCTTTTGTTTAATTTTTTAGCATAAAGATTAAAAAAATAAAAAACAAAAAATATTGAATAAAACAAACAAAAAATTGAACGTATGATACAATTTTTCTATTTAATTAAAATGATCAATAAAATAAAATTGATTAATCAATAAAATAAAATAAGCCGAACGGAGAATAATTGAAACATAAAAAGAGAACAACCGTACGCACAAAAGATCGAATCCAAATTTCAATTATTCCATCCATTCCGAAATGGATTATAATTCTTTTGCGACCTATCTCTCAATAACTTTTGTTTTTTTGTTTGTATATTTTATTAATTATTCATATACCAATTTGTAAATGAATTGATTTTAAATGGTGTGGGGTTTTGCCTCGTAAATGAGAAATCGTAATTCAATTTGGGACGAAGGAAGTAATATTTACGTTATTTTTATGAAAAAATATAATACATTATATAGTAATAAAAAAATAAGATGTTTGTTAATAAAAAAGATAAAAAAAATATTAAAAAAAAGGGAAATGGAGAGGGTGGGGGCAGGTGGGGTGGGGTGGGGTAAGGGAGGTTTGAAGACGAACAGAAGAAGGGAGTGGGAGGGGGAAGAGTAAGAAAATAGAAGTTGGGTCAAATTAAAGATTTTAAAATATATAAAATTGTAATTTGACCTAAATGACCTGATGATTACCTGAAAACTGGCTCCAAGTACCATTTATGAAAATTTTCAAAATGCAGGCATTTTTGTGAAAAAAATAAAATTTAGGTATAAAAATAAAAAATAGCTGAAAATTCAAGCATCATACGTGAAATTTTACCTTTTCAAGTTTCAATTATATACTCCCTCTTTCTCTAAAT